ATAAAGATCAACTGATCATAGGCTTATATCACTAATAGATCATTTGAAGACAATTGATAATATATATATATATATATATATATATATATATATGGGGGAGATTTCTTTCAAGAACACATGAAATTGTGATAACCTTAAAAACTTGTGCATAATGTGTTAGTGCATATGATTTTTTTCCATCTAAGATTAGGATTAGAATATTGATTAACATAAATTTGTTTCACAATGTGTTTGTTTCATATGTACTCGGTTCACAATGTAAACACTTTTTACGTGTTGGTGGAACAAAAAATACATGTAAAAAGTTTCACACTTTGAACTGAATAAGTATGAAAAAAACATTGTAAAACAAATATATGTTAATTAATAAGTTAAATACTATATTTTGATGGAAAAATCATGTGAAACAACACCTTAAGGTAGAAGTTCTCATGTGTCTCACAAATTTTGGAGTTCTCAAATGATAAAGCTCCTATATACACAGACACACACATATAGGGTCAGGTCTAAACTTCCCTCTCTATCTCTATATGTGTATGTGTGTTGGCAGATGATCTGATAAAATCTATCAGATGAAAACATAAGCTAACACTAACAAGTAACGCAGACCATTTCATATCAGCATACAAGTGTTGAATATTTGATGAATATATTAGGTGGAAGCCTACTACCTGATCAAACTATGCTCACTTGTATTAGATGATCCTGACCAACATATGTGTTAGAATCCGAGCGCTCACCACTACGGCAAAAGCAATTGTTGGTGGAGAAGGCGCAACTTAGTGTCTTATAGCGTAGTAGCCAGCGCCACATTTCGATTTAGGAAGATGAGATGCTGGTCAATGACCCAACAATCCCCCCCAGCATCTGCCAGCACTAACAAGATCTTCGCTAGAAGTCAATGGTCGCACAGCATGCCTTTGGCATTATTATGCACTCCATGGGATTCGAACCTGTGATCTGCTCTAATACCACTTGTTAGGATCCAAGCGCTTACCACTATGCCAAAAGCAATTGTTGGTGGAAAAGGCATAACTTATTTCCTTATAGCATAGTAGCCAGCGCCACGTTTCGGTTTAGGAAGATGTTGGTCAATGACCCAACAATATGATGCCTTGGACAGATGGGCTAAATCATCAACTGAAGATGCCAACACCTGAAGGTCCACAAGTACTTGAAGATTCATCATCTGATGATATCCCAACTGAAGAAATGTGTTCTCACTAGAGACAACAATGATAAAGGCTTAGTTTGACATAGTTGCTTTACGTTGTTTTTATTATTTTTTTTGTCAACCCAGTAAGGAAATCAAGAATCCTTAACAGTTAATGTTGTGTGGTATGCTTTAAATATGACATACTTAGCACTTATCATAACCACTACAAGGAAGAGACATGCAACACGTAAAGTGAAGAACATAGAAATGCAAGCTGTAAAAGGACATCCTCTTTATACTTTATCATCACATGCTCATTTGTCTTATAAGGTAGATGTTGCTTATAAATACCAAGTATGTTTTGAAGATCTATATGCAAAAATATAGAGCTTAAGAGAACATATTGTTATCATTCTAAATCTTCGCAGTTCATCAGCCGATGACCTACTGTGTCCTTGCAACTTCAGTTTTTTCATTGAATACTTGTTGGAGTTAATTGAGTATACTGTAGTGTGCGATATAGAAGGAATACAATAGACATACTTGAGAGAATAGTTACAGGTTATCGATTACCCCGATAGGTAAATGTTGGTGAAAGTACACATTCAGGTCATATAACATTCATCACCTTCACAAAATATAATGTCAAGTTCATACAATATAGATGTACATTTACATATTTTTTTATTAACCTGAATATCCAACCTGCTATGCGAGCCGACTAATCTCAGGACGACCACCTGCTTTGCAGATAGCCCAAAGTCACCGCATTTGAACCTCCGTTGCTACAAGGAAATTTTTATTCCTCCTTGGATTTTAACCTGAGATCTCCTGGTACTTTTGACCTTTGGAGTCAAGCTCAGACTAGTCATACATATCTCATTAAAACTCTTTTTTTATGTGATCCAAATAAGTATGCATATATAATATTTAATTTAATCTAATTTTTTAAAAAGAAATTTAATAGAAAAAAGTAAAATATCCAAACAAATTTTAATATATAAACCATTTTTAAAATAAAAAACAAACTTATTAAAGATTGAATATGAGTTTCATAAATTACATTAAATGTAAGACCAAAACTTGAGGCTAAATTTCATAAAGAAAGAAAATGTAAGGAGGGAGGGCAAAAGGGACATTTTGCAAATGTTCCCTTTGCAGCAAGTGACACTGAATCATTGTCCCTTTCACTACTGAAATCATAAGCATTGGGAAAAGCAAAAGGAATGATAGAAGAGGAGGCATATGATGTCACATTACAAATATTTAAATCATAAAAAGGAAAATTAAAATGATAACCATAATGATAATGTGCATCTCTTTTTTATTTGACATTTGTTAAATAATTAATGATTAAGTACTCAGAATGATTAAGAGATTTTTATGATATAATATAAAATGAAATATAAATGTTTGGTAATTGTTTAGAATGAAAATAAGGTGCTTAATGGTTAAAGGAAGCTCAAGATACAAAACTATTTAGAGGGTTTTAGAGGTAGACTTTCTTTTACCAAACAAGATTCACATCTTAGTGATTCAGATGTTAGTTTTTAGTGGAATTATTAAGAGGTAAACAAACAACCCCTTATGGGTGCGTTTGGTATGCAGACTATATGGGATGAAACGAGACGGGACAAAAAATATAGTCTCATGTTTGGCAATTTCATAAACAAAACGAGCGTAGGACAATGTGAGACTATGTTTAATTTTCATGGAACAAATCTTGAGATTTTTTGTTTCACCAAAAAAGGTGGAACAACATGGGACAAATTATAAAATTACTTTTATACCCTCAAATTTCAATACAAAAACCTCCATTCTTCCTCCATTTCATGTAGCTCTCTTCCTTTCAAAATTACTTTTATACCTTCAAATTATATTTTGGTTGATTTTTTGTCATTTACAATCATTACATGATATTAAATAACATTGAATAACATTCAAGGTTAATATGGTCATTTTAACAGTTTTGTCATGTTTTGTTCTAGTCGTACCAAAAATAGGACAGACAATTAGTCATATCATGTCTCGTCTCGTCTCATTTTGTCCCGTCCAGTCTACATACCAAACACTACCTATATGACCTATTTCAGCTTCACCTTGTTTAATTTGAGTTCTTATTTGATTTTGTTATATAAAAATAATATTCGTTTAACCTCATGAGTTAAATTATGTAACATCATATAAAGTTGGGTTCACGTGAGACCAAGGGTTTTTCGTGAGACCCGTAAGACCAATATATGTTCATTGATCATGTTTATCAGCTAATGATCTAATGGTCTAAAGTTGCACGGTAGCAATTTTGTGATTATTGAGAAGTCTCGTGACAATTTTGTGATTATGAATGTTCAGATTGTAGATCTAATTCAAGGGTTGAGAATTGGTCTACAGGTCTTACGAAAAACCCTTGGTTTCACACGATCCCAAGTCTTTCTCTCTCTCTCTCTCTCTATCTCTCTCTCTMTCTCTCTCTCTCTCTCTCTCTATATATATATATATATATATATATATATATATATATATATATGAATCGAACATGTTTAAACATAAAGTTATATTCATTCTTTTTTATCAAAATCAAGTTAAATCATATATTGAAAATGTTAAAAAGAGGTTTGATTTCATTGAATGCAAAAGGAAAACTAATAGAGTGATGCATTTATCGAGTAAGGATGATACACTTGGGAGCAATTTACCAAACACTTACCCGGTAAGCATCTAGCGGTAAATTTAACGATATCATTTACTTCTCGGGTAAGATTTTAGTCAACAAAACGGCTTTCTATGCAACAAATTACCCGGTAAGAGCTGACCGTGGTAACAATCATTGCTCTTACTTACCGGGTAAGACTCTAGGTCCTTGCCTCGCTTTACCGGATAAGATTCATGGTTCTTTCCATGTTCATCCGATAAAGTAATGTAACTTGGTAAGCGTTTATCCAAGTAAGCATTTGGTAAACGACCCCTTGTTATACTAAAAACTTCTTGTTGATATCTTTTGAAAAAATACATTTTCTTTTGACCCAAATTTACATGTCAACATTTAGTACATGGTATTAATTAGTACGTCACACAATCTATCTATTTATATACTAATTAAATATTATATATCTTTTAAAAATAATGAAGTTTTTAACTTTTTCTTGAGAGCAGAGAATATTAGGACTAACATAAGTTAACAACCTAAAATTTTAAAATGGGTGCACCTAATAATGCTACCATGCATGTTGTAATTAACATTGCATTTATATATATATATATATATGAATGATATATTTCAAATGCAATCATGTCCATTTGTACAATCAGTGCAACTTAATCAATTAAGATATTTATAGAAATGATGAGATTTCATTTATTATGATTTGAATATTTATAGAAGATTACTATAGTTCATTGATTATGATCAATACTTTATATTAGGAAACAATCAAAACTTTTATGAAATCACATATTCATCAAATTAAATGGACAGTTGAGATTGAGTTGTATTGATTGTACAAATGTAAATGGTTGCATAATAACTCACATCTCTCTATCTCTCTCTCTCTATATATATATATATATATATAATTAAATAGTTTGTTTTCAAAGAAAACCTATCTTTCTATTCGTATAACATCCGACTTTCTATCGACATATTAACAACCGTTGTATCTGTTTCAGTAAAGACCGAAAAGAAAGACCCGTTGTTTCGCTAATCGAAACCGAATTCTAGTGAAAGACAATGGTAATTGTTCCAAATCAACACCCCAAACGCTGTCGTTTTTGTATGATGTACACTTGGATCGTTATTATGATGATTGATATATGTATATTTCTCATTCCACACTTCATAAACTACAAATTACATCAAACTCACCCTTTTTCACCATTCTCTATGACAGAAATAACCAAATTCAAGAAAAAGATCAAGAAAATTCAAGATAACAACTCCTTTAGCTTCAATGGAATTGGGTTCAAGTTCTAAGCAAATAGATGCTAAGTTCAGGTGCTCCATTGCTGTCTGGATTCATCATGTAGAAAGCTTCTGAATCTCTTGATCCCACAACCCTTTCGAACTTAGCTCTCATGTACATCATCTCACCTTCATCTTCTTCACCCGCCTTATGATTTGCAGGTAACACACCAGCTCCCATGGATATCGGCTCCACCGCTTTCAGAACCTTCCATTCTTTCTCCCCGCATTCCCTTTTGTACGCGAAACCGCACTTCTTCCCGTTGCAATACGTCCTCCAAACGGGCTCTTCCAAGAGTCTTGTCGAGTTGCCGGCTTTCTTGATCTTGTTGTGATCATCTTGTTTATCACACTCTAACGCGATCCTGACGAGCCCAGAAGCCATTTCCTTAACGAGCCCACTGATCGGGGTTTGAAGCTCGATCAAGAAGGTGGGTTGGGAGGTGGGGTTCTTCTGGAACGCGAAATGGACGTGGCCTCTACGAGAACCGAAAAGGGTTCCTACGACCCTCGGTCCAAGCCCATGTAGCACGTTCGCTCGGTTCTTACCTAGTGCCGTAAGGACCGAGCGAAACCTAGCAATCGTCACGGCTTGAATCTGCTTCTTTCTGGTTAAGGGTGATGGTAATATCTTGTCGTCCTTGGATGGGCAAGAATTGAAAGAAGGGAACTCTTCATGTTCTTGATCTTCATTGCTGACTTTGTTTGACCAATGGAAGTGTTTCTTGTCTTGAGAGGTTCTTGCCATGGCTATGAATATGAAAAGGAAGATGATGACCAAATAAAGGGAAGAAGGCAAGTCCTTAAAAGAATGAAAGAAAGAGAGGGATTTGTGGGTTTTTGGCTTTATTAACATATAGTCTTGATTTTGAACACATAACCATTAGTGGAACAAAGTTGATTGATACGGGTCGGGTCGGATGGAAAGAATCTAGACAAAAGAAATATAAGCCAACCCCACCAAGAGATTTCAAAACAAAAATCTTATTTAGGAGCGGGTTCAAGAAAGAACACTGAAAAAGACAAAACAAGAGAATTTATCTGACCTATCCAGTGGTGGATCCATGATTTTTGTTGAACGGCTGAAACTTCAAGGTGGATCAAAGCCCGCAAAGTCGTCCAATGTGTTTTTTGGTTGATTTTCGAGGGATTTTTGAAGAACTTTTTCGGGATTTTGATTGATTTTGTTAACTTCTAATATTACCGAGCACCGTTCAAAGTTTAGTGTGTGCATCTTTCGTACCCAAAAAAAGATTCAACATGCGAAAATCGATGAAGCAAGTGCTATGGACGCGCTTGGTCCGCCCCTGGAGCCATCCATCTATATTACATTTTGCCAAGATTACATTCGAATTTAAACCATCTATCTCTAGATTCAGCCGTTTGAGTGGTTGTTTGGCAATTGTTGAATGGTTTGGTGCAGAATGATTAAGAGACTCTCATGATATAGTGCAAAATGAAATATAATTGTTTGGTAATTGTGTACAATGAAATTAGGGCTCTTAATGGTTCAGGGAGATCCAGGATACAAAATCATTCAGAGGGTCTTAGAACCATTAAGAAACAGACTTTTATTTTGCCAAACAAGATTAAACTCTTCACGATTCAGAGGTTGTCTCTTAATAGAGACTATTAAGAGGTAAACAAACAACCCGAGATGAGTTTGGAAGGTGATTAAAGAAAAGGGTGTCCATTTTGGTAATTTGAGTGAAGAGAGAATAAAGTGAATGTGTGAGTTCACTTTCATGGTGGGGTTAGAGAGAAGGGAATGCTTGACTGAATGGCCTTTATTTTTGACTCAGAATCCCAATCAGACACAAAAGAACAGAGAGCAAAAGGAACACTCTTCTGGCAAGCACAAATTTCACTGCTTAATATGCCATCAGACATGATCTAAAAGAATACTGACTCACTCACTCACTCACTCACTCCTGCTCTCTGCTTAAGCCCAAGTGCTCCAGGCAGGGGCATATTGGGGATAACAATTCATTATTGGCTGAACAACACCCCCCTCTGTTAGGTCTATTCCATCACCAACAACAAGGTTTATAATAAGCATTAAGCACAATGGTTGTGAATAATGGCTGAGGTTATAAGACAGTGTTTCATTTGTCACCGGTCTAAGAGGGTGTTTGGGATTGCTTATTTGAAACAACTTATGCATTTATGTAAAATCACTTATCAATTTATTATAAGTCAAAAGGGTTTAACTTCTTCAAAAATTCCTTGTTACCGGTTTGGATCACTTAAAAAGGAATTGGGTAATCATTTTTTTGATGTATTTAAGAAAAATAAAAATACAAATGAAGAGAAAACAAGCAAAGGGAATAAAAAGCAAATGAAGGCAGGGGAGGGCAGAGCATATGTCTATGTTTCACCAACCAATTATCTACTGTATTTTCTGAAACAACAGGTTTGTGACGTCATTATTAACCAACTTATGTTTCTTTAATAATTTTTTTGGTATTTTTATATTTAATTGATGTATAAAAGGAAAGATGGATCCAACGTTACAAGTTTTCTATTTGTGTTGAATGTATAAATAAACATTAAGTTCTCGTTTTGTTTGAAGGAATAAAATGAATTTTATGGTGATTTGTATTTCAAATCCATTCCATCTCATATTTGGTTTGTTGGATTGTCCGGATTTAAAAATCTTCAAATATATGATTTTGAAATCTTTAAGGAGTGCTGGGATTTCATGGAATTTCGTAGGATTGTATGCAATAAAGTTTTAAAAAATGTTAAGAACATTTGTATTGTAATAATCGATTAATACAATGTTTTTATAATTTTTCTATAAATTATTTATAAATATTGAAATCCAATTCCATTTCAAATCTTACAAATCAAACACACCAATGATTTCAAATCTCTCCAAATCCAAAGCCCTCAAACCAAACGAACCGTAATAGTCCAAAAATTGCTATTATATGAGCAATGGACACCGAGGGGCTGTTTACTAAACGCTTATTAGATAAATTTCTTCAACGGATGAACATCACAATGGCCAAGAATCTTACCGGATAAGAGTGCTGAGAATGATGTAGAGTCTTACCCGGTAAGTGAAGATGACAACTCTTACCCAGGTAAGCGCTTACCTGGTAAATTGGTGCATTCAATATGTTTTATGTACTAAAATCTTACGCATCAAAATAAATTATCGTATTGACTCATATCAATAAGCACTTATCGGATAAACATTTGGGTAAACAGTCCCCAAGGGTATAAAAATAAAATCTCTGTTTGATCAACACACCCATCTCTAATTGTGAGAACTTATACATATAGACAAAACAGATCATGTGAACTATAGAGTCAGAAAATTTACCATTTTAGACATGATCTGGCATGCCTTGATACAATTTTATCATCTTACATCTACAATTTCCCAACCTCAAATCATCCAAAAATAAGTGTTTTCAGAAATCATTTATCCAATAGATTTAACTCAAATTATAAAGCAATATCTAAACATTTTCAGAAAACCAATAAAATAAAATAAAATAAAATAAAAATGCATTCTTATAAACCAAACGTACCCCCAGTAAATCCCACATAAATGTAGGGTCTACGAAGAGATAGGGAGGTGGTTTTTTCCAGCTTGCATAACAAATACATATACATATACATATACATATACATATACATATACATATACATATACATATACATATATATATACATATACATATACATATATATATACATATATATATATATATATATATAAAAGAAGCTACAGTCCTATGTGAATCATCAAAAGAACCTCCTTCTATTTCATTTCCCTTTCAAATCAAGAAATCATTCAGCTGCAACATGCCTAACAAATAAGATGGCAGCTTTGACTTAAGACTAATCAGCAAGCATATAGACATAAATTGGGAGTACAAATTACACTAACATTCAAACAGGTAGCAGTCAACTAACCAAAAGGGACTTTGTACATGATAGAGAGATGAAGAAGCTAAAAAGAGGAGGGAGGGAGGGATGGGGTTGTAAGGAAGCTTGCCTACTTTCTTTCTTTTTTTTTTTAGTTTAAAAAGGGATCTAAGAGTAAGTTAGCTATTCAAACTTGGTTCGGCTTCAGGCGGTTTGGGTGCAGTTGCAACACCGTTCATTCTGGCACGTGCCTCCGCAAACATCCTCTGCTGCTCAGCTAATGCTTCTTCTTCAGTCATCTCTGCTCCATTTGTGCACTTTCCACCTCTAACAGTATCCTGTTCCATCATTTCCACCTCAAACACCACTTTCTACAACCATTTATCACATTATGGTGCCAAAAATTAAAAAACAAACCATTACCACTGTTTCGAGTTTGTGTTGTTCATAGGCAGCATAAACTTCTTCTATGTAATCCCCAAAACCAAGAACCTGGAAAAATTATAGATGACAAATTATACAAGAAATAAGCAGAAAGTTTGGTGGATATCGGCAAACTAGTCCAGTAACAAAATAAAAAACCATAAAAGGCAGAAGCTGGTGGAGACTGTCAACCAATCGCAGTTTCATCTTCTTATACTATTAATTATACATCATGACAAGTGATCAAAACCAGAATGCAAGCAGCATGACCAGACCTCTACATGAAGGCACTTGGAAGATCACCTGGTAAACGTCTTACTGGACAATGGATGAACAATTAAGAAGATGATAATTAACATTCATTGATGCATTTCATATGTAACTTCAAGAAGGATAATTGTGATCTTAATATTTAATTTAATTTACCATCCATACCAAACAAAAGAAAGACAATAATACTACTAGAACTGAAGGAGCTGTCATATGGGTTAACAACACAACAATGCCTAAATCAATCTATTGCAACAAGTTCCACAGTATTGGTAAGTATGGGTGACAGGGTATAAAAACTAATGACAACCTAATGCAGGCGTATCCAAGGTACAACACTAAACATCATCACATGTGCATCCTAAGGTGAAGCATGCAAAATGAATATGGTTATCATGATTATGTATGCAATTAACGAACCTCTAATGCCTTGAGAACATGTTCTGGTGCGATTGTTCTTTTATCTTCTCTGCTACACACTTCATTTGATTCTGATGAAATAAGATTAATGAACTCTGCAGGAGGGAGGACAATGGATCATATAAGAGAGGTTCAGTTCAAATATTAAGTTAAACATCAATTAAAACACAAGCAGTGCATAAACATGAACTAAAAAACAATCAGAGCAAATGCCATGAACAAACTTTTTTGAAATATGAAGTTAAACATGACTCAAGTGTGTTCGGTGTTAATAAACCCAAGTCAATGTAAAACAAGAGCAGACAACTGGCTGTAAGGTCAATACTTGTCAAAAGAGAATCAAATCACGAACTTGCAATATCGACTATATAAAGAATTGGCTCCTAAAAATATAACAAACCATGAACTTTCTAAAACATGATAGCCACATTCATGATGCTCCTAGCGAACTAAAAACAAAAAAAAATTCCATCTCTCATCCTAATCCATCTAATCTATTGCCAAGGAAAAACATGCACTGACAAATGAAGTAACTGCACATAAGCTTGAAAGCATGACAAGGATCTCACCTACACAACACTCAATCAAAAGATCTTGAGTATCTCTTGCAACACGTACATCTGGAGGCAACATCTCCTTAATTATTTTAGTCATAGTAGCTGCATGCATATAAACAAAAACTTGCATCAGCAAAAAAACTTAAAAAAAGCCATCCAACAGGTTAAACAAGTAACCTGCAGACCAAAAAGGCAATTAGCACATGCAGATTCGAGGTGAAGCTTAACATGTCTCCAATGTGACATGTCCCTAGATAATAGACAACACTTGTGATTTCTTATTTATGGCTTCTACCTTGCCATCAACTTCATGCCAAGTGACCATGGTGTACTCAAAACTGGATTTCCATTTTCATCTCCATTTTGCATTCCTCTTCTTAAGTTTCTTAAAGGATTATCGACATGTGATCAGGAAATCATCAAATCAGTCTGGAAAGTGCTACTTGAACAAGGTGCTCATTTCCAGTATCCACATGCCTCTACGAGGCTTAATCCCACGGACATACAATAATTCAAAATACTCGGCAACAACAAACAACAAGTAGACCTAAGATTCAATAAACGATATACGCTTACCAACATTAACATATAAGAGGATTGGTCTCCAAAAAACCAAATTAAGGGTGTTGTAAGACTCAGATACATGCGACAAATTGGAGAGCCAACACGAACTCCATTGTAATAATATAAGGCAACGCAATATTTATATATCAGAACATACAATTATAGGCATGTTGATCATCAACTAGCAACATATAACGCTTCCACTTATATGCAGTGTAATAACAATACCTTACAAAATTTGGGTGTTCGGCTAACCTTAGAGTGGGTCAAGCCCGCAATGGATATCAATAAAGCAGAGGACATGAATACGATTTTATTAACTGACGTCATAAACAACACTGGCATACAACAGAAACATAAATTCAATGTAAGATTATGCATCCAGACAAAATACACATGCAAATGAATTACTATCTTCAAAATATAAACATGAATACTAAGAAAGCAAATATCTAAGCACAACAATGAATCGCCATTCACACCTTTGACCTATATGGTAGAAATTAAACAATGTTAAACTTTTAAGGAGCTTCCGAGGGTCATCAAGTATCATCGTATCAACCTCCACATTCTTGTAATAAAAAATTGTTCACCTTACATCCAGATATATAACTTTTTGGTAGGCAAAGGCCCTACAAATAAGTACATCGGGCAACAAGCCGGTTGAGTGCACTGGCAAACCCACAAGTCAAACAGGTGTGGCCTACATTTAAGGTACTGTATGTAATGATCAGCACATGTGAGTATTGACCATACCAAGACAGCTTCCCATGCTCTACTCATAAAAAATTTGGGGGAAATTCTATAACAGATCCTTATCCATACAAAATCACTGCTGAGTGCTGAGCCAACACAAAAATACGACCAGTAACCTAACAGCGTCTTAGAGAACATAATAAAGCCAAAATCAACAAAAATAGAAAAAGGTTTTAACCAACACAACAAAAAACATATGGTTATTGGTACTTTTGTTAATAACATGGTTTAGTTTTCATTACAAGGAAAATTCAACACAAGTTTGCAGATCCAACCAGTGGCGTGCAAAAGTAACCCAATTTCCAGGTACTCAATATGAACACTCGCATAGCCATCTTTTCTGGGCACACACACAGGCACGCATTAGCTTTTCACAGCGTAGATGAGGGACATGGAAGAACATGGTTGCACATATGGTTAACACATGCATATCAGTATTTGTGTCTGTATCAGGATTTAGGATCAAGTGATAAATCAATTAATCAGATTGATTCCCGCTCTGACACCGAGATCTTGGACAGATGATAAACAAAATTAAATTACTAAAATCATCAGAATAAACCAAATTCATTGACGCAGCTATTCCTCATGTATATTATTATTATTATTTAAAATTTAAAAAAAACACTGCAAAAGCACTTAAAAGTTCAATTTGCAGACCCACGAGGTGCGCCCGATGCTTTTAGGTAATTGACCACAGAATCAAAGCAAACGTCAAGAACAACGGAGTGGTAAAGGCTCGATATACAGTCACAGATATCAGACATACATACAACAAATCATAGAATACAAACACGAAGGAAATCAAACGAACCTTTCGGGAGCGAAGCATCCTCTTTCGTCTTACCAACAATATCCATGGGTTCCATCTTTGACCCTACAAATTCAACCAAAAACACCCGCAATCATCAGATCCAAATCAAATTTCAACAAAATCGCATCTCTCAAACATCACACGGATCACATAATCACAGATCTAAACCAAACAGAAACATACCAAAAGAAAATAGGGATTTCGAAACTCACCGAGAAGATCAGGAGCGCCAGTCGACAGAAGGTGGTGGTCGGGATCGAATTATAGCGATAGAATCCGAATCGAAAGACAGGGATCGGAGGCGGAAACGATGAAGCATGATGGTGCCCGATATAGGGAGAGGGGGAGTTCGCAGGCGACTAGGGCAAAATTCTCCAGGGCGCGTGGGGTAATGATTCTCGACGCGCGTGTCAGGCCTTGTCGTGTTGACTCAGTGGGGTCCACATTGTGGTGTGAGGTAAAAGAGAGCGCGTGGATGAGGTGCGAGCGTGGGCATGTGTTGTCGCTAGGATACATGAATGTTGGGTTTTATAGTTTTGATTTAACGTATTTGGAGTGTTAACCAACAGGTGGTGCTTGATGAATCGTTGAGAGCCAGAAAAGGAGCGATCCCCCCCTTTCTTCCATTCCAATCACACCCATATGGGCCGGGCTTTCTACAAATTGCAATAAGCCCAATTTTAATGGACCTTGACCCAAATATCCGACCCGTTTGACCAATTTAGTTAAATGGTTGAGTTAGGTTAAGATTTTTAACTTGTTTAATAAATGAGTTGAACCCAAACCCAACTCAACCTGACATATTATCACCCCTAGATTTAGGGTTATGCTTCATTTGAAATAATTTGACTGGGATATGACATGACAATATCAAACCTTGTTATCCTTACTCATGGTTTATGCAACATTAAATTGAGACATAACAAGTTCTATGTGGGATAAAAATGTATTTTTTTTTCTATTCCCGCCAAAATAAGTGGAAAAAACACGATATATAAGACAAGAGTTGTGAATTGTTAAACTAGTTACGCCAAATTAAAACCCGGAAACATTTCACAATTGTTTCATCCTCATACATGAACGAGACTCTCGTTCTTCTAATATAATCCAGTCTTGTTTAATATTGTCCACGTACCAAACAAACCCAAGGTACAATTTTTGGCTAGTTTGGTCTTCATAATCCTCACTTGACCTTTTCCTATCTACCTGGCATCATGATGATATAGTATTTGATTGGAAAAAGATGAAGAATTAATGACAAGAAAAAGTAGTGAAAATTGCACAAAAATAGAACCAAGTTTGACTTGATTTATGTTTTATAGAACCAACTTTCAGAATTATCATTTAAGGGTCTAGAGCAAAGTTTTCGTTTATTTAAGAGTCCGATTGACCAGTTGACTCATTAAAAATGATTTGATTCAAGTATTTTGCCAACTAAGATTCCATGTCATAATTAAATTTATATAGATAATTTTAAAATAGATACATGGCACCGATAATTATGACATGATGCATATAAACAGGTTTCGTATCTACAATTTTAGAACAACAGCTTAGCCATCGTGGTTTACTGGTTTACAAAGCAAGATTGGTCCTTCCCGTTAACATCATGAGGGGCAGTTTAGTCTTTTTTTCTCATTTTCTTTAAAAACAAATACTAATATACAATATTATAATAATTATATTATATTGATTATCTAATCGGGAAAATTGCATCAAAATGGAACTAACTTTTACATTATTCTTATTTTGGGGAACCAACTTTTAAAATCTTCATTTAAGGATTTCTATCAAGCTTTTTGTTTATTTAAGGTCTGGTTAACGTGTTGAACATGTAACAAGTAATTTAATATGACTTGGCAGAAAATTATTAAAACAAATATTATGCGGAAATTATTTTGACAAATCATCATTATAATTAAAACAAATCAAAATGAAGTCTGTTTCACGTCTCCTACCTTAGTCGCAATCCTACCCCTCTCTCTTCCTTCAACCGCCGTCGTCCCATAGTCTCCTGCCGCTGTAGCTTTTCGCCGTCTCCGACAGCCGCTGCCCTTCCCTCTTCCTTCAATCGCCGTCATCCCATAGTTTCCTGCCGCTGTAGCTTTCTGCCCTCTCCGACAACCGCTGCCCCTCCCTCTTCCTTCAATTGCCGTTGTTCCATAGCCTCCTGCCGCTGTAGCTTTCTGCCCTCTCCAGCAGTCGCTTCCCTCTCTGACAGGCTGTCCTATCCGCTGCCCTTTCCGACATGTATCCACTATCTGCGGTTTTTTGTGTTTATAATTGTACATTGTGTGATATTTGTGTCTGTAATCATACATATCCATTAGTCGCATTGGTTAATCTTCTTTGCTGATGTGGTGTTGTTTGTTTGATTATTTGAATCTAATTATGGTGGTTAGATAAGTGTGTTCTTACATTTCCTACATGGACTTTCCCCTGTATATATAATGGTCAAAAGATGGGTCTTGGGAATCTTCTTTGATGATCCAAATTTATTTATATAATTATTCCACCATCCTGTTGCTAAGCAATATATATCTTGGTTTTATCTGGTTTCTTGTATCTGTAAGTAAACATTATATTGCGACAAAAAATGCATCAATATAGGTTCTTGAAACATAGAGATATAGTTTAATGATTTGTAGATAATTTTCAGAAAATATGGACCTTGTTAACCATGTCTTCAAAGAGACTCAAGGAGAGCTTTTGGCCAACGCCTATATACCACTTTCATTACAAACTGAAAAAGAAAATGGTGGCAATGAAGTTGTTTGTTTGTTTTTGGCAATGAAGCTTTTGGCTACTGCTGTTAACCAACTTTTTTTTGTTGAAACATTGCTTATTACATTTGATTATTACACCTCCACTGTTTGTTTGTTTTTTTTTTTCGATTGCATATCAAGTAAATTGATGCTCTTAACAAATTTTATTTCAGAGCTAGAACCTACTGAATGCAAAATAACAAACATACTCTAGCTAAATTATTGCATTTCCTTGACAAAAGTTTAACTTGGTATTCGAGGTTTTTACAAAGTTTAACTTGGTATCATCAGTATATACGTCCCGTCAAGGAAATGCAATAATTTTTCATATTGTACTCATCTCAAACAAACAAATAAATTGTGAAAACAGTGAGGTTAACGGGCAGCTTGTGTTTGAACATGGTTTTGCATATGTCAAGTTGGGGGGTAATAGTAGGATTTTATGGATTGAGAGAAGTTGCATATAGACATATAGTTGCAATGTGGTTAACCGACAGCTTGTGTTTGAACAATGCTTATGTATTTGAATATTGCTTAATGTATTTGAATACAACTTCTGATCCAAACAGAAGCAGCAGCAGCTGATCGAACACAACAGCACCATTGATATTGTGTGTTCAAATGACCATGTTGTGTTCAAATTACAACTTCTGTTTCAACTTTCAAGTGTTGTATTAGAATTTATGGAACACAACAGCAGCAACAACAGCAACAACAGTTGATCAAACACAACAACAGCAACAACAGCTGATCAAACACAACAGCAGCAACAACAGCTGATCAAACACAACAACAGTTGACCGAAGTGTTGTGTTGTTGTATTTGTATTACAACTCTCGTTATTGATTATGGAACATTACAGCTCTTGTTGTATTTGGTCCTAAAAGTTAAGTTCTATAAAACGGCCTTGGAAATAGGTGGCGTCCTATAAACTCAATTTTGTTGTATTGTTGCTACCATTATTTTCATATTGAGATTTTCAAAAAGTTTATTTTCAGGTTTGAAGAGAACCAATGTGAAGATCAATTTGGCTATAACGATCAATTTGGCTATAACTCATGGTGGCATGTTCCAAACAAATCCATTCTATTATGGAGGTAAAGTTGCATATCTGAAATATTTTGATGTAAGTAACATAGGTATTAGAAGCGTAAGACAACGTGTTGAAGATTTTACTTCATCTAAAGTTAGTCGAATGTATTATAGGGTTCCTAACATAGATTTGGAAATAGGATTGAAACCCCTTGATAGTGACACAGATGTTGAAAGGTTTTTTAGTTATAGCATGTTGTCAGCACAATTAGAAATTTTTATAGATCATTTTAATATTGATATTAGTGAGTTCTTGAATAGTAATTATGATGATACCATTGAAGATGATTATGTTATTGGTAGTGACGATGAGATTAGTTTTTCCGATGTTGATGATGACGAGGTTGCTAGTGTAGATCATTTATTGGAAGGGGATGATGAGATTAGAGAGGTTGGGATGAGAAAATTCAATAGGGAAGTGGAAGATATGAATGTTGAACATGCAATACATTCTTGTAATGCAAATGTTCGAGTCCCTAGAGATGATAACATGGAAAGAGAAAATGAGGTACAACCACAACCATATCAACATGATGGTTTTTTGACGGAATTGTGTGATAAGTACGATAGGGATAGGTTTGTTGAAGACGTCGTTAATTCTGAAAACGAAAATGAAATGTTTGAAGACGACGAGGCCAAAACCAATGAACTTCCAATTCACAATCCAAATGTTCCTTGGAACTTAATGAAACCTCAAGTTGGTGAACGATATGCATCGGCCTTGGAGTTAATGAATTACTTGACAAATTATGTGCTTTCAAATGGTCTTCAACTTAGGTATGATACTTATCTTATTTACTTACGTACATCTATTATGTAATTACTAACGTTTTCTGACATATTGTTATCAATGAAGGTATCTAAAAAATAGCAAAGACAAGTTACATGTTGTGTGCGGACTGCCTAAAAAGGATATGAAAGTAGTTGTACATGGAGGTTATGGGCATCTTGGATGAAGGATGAAAAATCATTCCAAGTCAAGTCACTAAATGATGAGCACAAGTGTAGGAGAAATTACATGTTAGGTTCACTTGTAAATTCCAATTGGATTGTTAAACAATATGGGAGGAAGATTAGACAAAACCCATTTAACAAGTTAGTTGATTTAAAGGAATCCATTCTAAAAAAATACAAGTGCATTGTTCATTTGAGTCAATGCTAAAGGGATAAGGCCAAGGCATTGGGGGAAGTAGAAACGGCTCTAATTGAGCATTACGGAAAGTTATGGGACTACGGTGAGGAGATTCGAAGGAGTAATCCAGGATCAACGGTTAAAATTAGTGTGGAGGTAGGACCAAATGTAAGACAAGGATTAGAGGGTTTTGTTGTCGATACTCAATGTAGAACATGCACTTGCAGAAGTTGGCAAGTTTTTGGAATTCCTTGTCCACATGTTGTTGCAGCCATATACTTCATTCACCAAGATCCAGCTAATTTTGTGTCTCCTTGTTCTCAAAAATAAAGTTTAGTAATACATATAATCACATGATCAACCCTTTGAATGAGATCAAACTTTGGTCAAGGACAGATTTTGCCAAACTTTTGCCCCCAAAGTCTAGACGCATGCGTGGCAGGCCGATAATAGCCAGAAGGAAAGATGCAAGTGAAGGAAGTAGTCACACTAGAAGAAATGCATACGGCCATGAAGTGGTAGCCAAATCAGGGAGAAAGATGACTTGCAGAAATTGTTTGGAGGTAGGACGCAATTCTAGGAGTTGTCAAAATAAAAAGAAAGATGCACCTACTCGGCCAAAAAATCCAATTGGTAGACCGAGAAAAAAAAACAACATAGAGGAGAAGGATTTGGTTATTGGAAGCAATATAAGAGGAAGGGGTTCAAGAGGTACGAGTTCACGGGATACAATTATAGGAGTAAATATAATAATTGTGATTCACATTGTGTTTGAACACGTGTGTGTGTGTGTGTATATATATTAAATATTGTAGTTAAAAGTATGTTTATTTTGCAGAGTTCACAGGTTAGTTTTGAGGGAAGTATACCAATTACTGTTGGGGAAAGTATTTTCAATATGTATAATCACACTCTGTTTATATATTTGCATATAACTTACATATTTGCATTAACTTGCATATGTTTACCTATGGCAAGTTGATATAGGTGATGCTCAAATTCCTGATAAAGTTCGATCAGTTCCATAATTTACAGTTGATGGTTAAGTTTAATAAGGATGATTCATGCAGTCGAAGATTGAAGATTTTCAATCATTTTTTTGTGATAATATCTTGTCATCGACTTTGTGAACAAACTTTTATTTTGGTTTGATTTGTCAAATTTGATTTAAACTTTAAAATTGATACAGATTGGTTGGATATAAAAACCTTGAATTTGATATTTGAATTTTTTTTATTTAAAAAACGAGATTTGGAAAGAAAATAGATTTTATTGCATTAATTTTTTTATAATTAATTTTTGAAAAAAAAACGAATTTTAGTTAATTTTATATAATTATTTTGCAATTTTAAAATATGACGTAGATTTAAAATAAAAAAAATAATATGACATGGAATATCTTAGTTGGCAAAAGATCTAGATGATGTCAGCATTAACAGGTCAACCAGACCCTTAAATAAACAAAAAGTTTAATATATACCCCTAAATGAAGATTTTAAAAGTTGGTTCCTCAAAATAACAATAAAATAAAAGTTGGTTTTATTTTAATGTAATTTTTCCTATCTAATATAATATATAATATATAGATACAAAGATGCGACCACCACCCACAACTTTCATTCCACAATGCTGGCCAAATTTGGTTCATAGGTTATAAATCTTTCCACTATCAAGATCTAACATTTCTTTATCTTTGTTGTAACCACACTTTTGAAAAGCATGGAAGTATGGACGTTTTGTAGTTTCTATGAATTTTGAGATGACGTAATGTGTTTTTTATTTATAATTATAGCAAGAGGTTGCCTACTTAACCAATGAACGAGATCCTTCAATAAATGCAAATTTCTTTCAAATCTTTGAATAATAATTTTGAAAGTTGGTTCCCTAAAGTAGAAATTAAGTCATGATTACTTCTATTTTGATAATATCTAGCCCAACGATCAAGACTGATATGGCCTAAAAAATGCCCGATTTGTGAAGACTTTATTCCGTATAAGCAATAACGGACTTTAAAAAAAACGAGATCGGTTTTTTGTCATGAATAGTTAAAGACTAGATATGGCGAAAACCGATCTCAAGCCAAAGAAGTTGGCTTGTAACCTGGGATGCCAGTCGTGGTCCAGGTCCCGACCAAGAATACCATGATTAATCCTAGCCCGACAACTAGGAATGTTCGATGGTGAAAACGATGATCTTCATTGTTGCAGTGAAATCCTAAATCATGGTTTAAATGGTTGAACAATAGATTAATGAAAAACAATGAATTACATTAAATTTACATATTTCAAGATCAAAAACAGTTACGACACCGAGAACCCAAATGAATCGGCCGCAGATTTGGCCATTATTCCTTGGAATTCCTTAAAACTAATGACACCATCGCCGTCTGTATCGGCGTTTCGAACCATTTCAGAGAGTTCACGGTACGTCAAGGGCTGACCCATCTTGGTCATGGATTTGGCTAACTCAGCCGGCGTGATGAACCCACTTCCATCCCTATCAAACGACTGGAATATCTCTAGAAGCTGATGTTGGTTGATTAAAATATCTTCACTCATCATCTGCGACGACATGGCGTTCACCAATTCGTCAAACTCTACGGTCCCACTTCCATCGGAATCCATGTTTTTGAAGAGTTTATGGATCTGCTCTCCGGTGGGTTTGAGGCCAAGAGACCGGAGGAGGGCCGCCACCTCCAGGTGGGTCAGAGACCCGTCTTTATCGAGGTCGAATCTGGCGAATATTTCCCGGAGCTGTTGGAGTTGGTCCTCCGGCAATCCTGACATGGTGGTCGATTGATAGTCTTTTGATCTCTCTTATGGATTTCTGTTGACAATGGTTGATTAGATGGGCGGCGTTCGGCGGCGGCGGTGGTGGATGTTGGTGGTTTGGTGAATGATGGAGGAGGTAATGCATGTATTCTTGGAGAATTATGCGGTGGATGGTAACCGCTCAATAGGTTTTATTTACGATAATCATTTTAGTCCATGTATTTATATAAGCCCCTCAATTGCTTCTCAAAAATTGAAAATCTTCAAAAACATTTATTTTTCTTTTTATTAAAAATATGCATAAATCTTAGTTATGTGCATCATGATTTGGTAAGAGCGAAACAAGGACCAAGAGTCTTACCCGATAAGTGAGGGTGACAACTCTTACCACTGTAAGAGCTTATCGAATAAATTGTTGCATACGATGTCGTTTTGGTGGACTAAAATCTTATCAGGTAAGTAAATAATAGTGTTAAATCTTACCGGTAAGCATTTACCAGGTAAGTGTTCGGTAAACGGCCCCTTAGTTCGATAGCTTGTAGTTTTATGATTATCCATGAACTTGTGGTGTTCATCCTTTGTTGGTTTTAATTACAGTTTGATACTCGTTTGTGTTTTATTTTTGATTTATTGGTTTTTTGCTATCTGATATTTTTTAAACTGAATTTAATTTATTGGTTGCTCGCGATTATAATTTGTTGCTAATGACTATAGTTTATATGTTTATCAACTATTGACCATTCTGATTCAACTTTCACTGGGTTTGTTATAAATTAGTTGAGCGTTATGTGCCAACATGCTTTTTAATTACAAATTGGTTTAAGGATTTGTTCCTCTAGCCATTTGATCCGTTACAAATCACTCGAATTTTGTATTAATATGTAATGTACTCATTTGCTTTCAATTTAACCAAGATAGTAATGCATATATAATGGTATAATGTGATCGGTTTAACCGAAAACCGAATCGAATAAATTATATTTATTAGGGTAACTGAACAATTTAATTTGAAAACCTAATAACCCGAAAAGATATTGGTTCGAATGAGTTTATCAGTTTTAGAATTTGTACACCTCTAAATATGCCCCCGATGATAAGGATTTCTGAATCCGTCTGTAGAAAATGTTGTTCTCGTGGGTATTTCATGATGGGTGCAACGTTTCTCTTGTTATTTCATTAAGTTACTCCTTAGGGGGCTGTTTTGTTCGAGGAATTCAAAGGATTTCAAGTGAATCGGAATGATGAACTCCTTTGACCAAATTCCAATTCTTTTGTGTTGGTTTACGTATTGAAAATGTAGGAATCTTTTGAATTTCATTAAATTCCACAAATTAAGGAATTTCTTATTCCTTGACATAATTGAAGGATTTGGATTAGGCATGGCAACGAGGCGAGGATGCAACGGGTTTTGTAACCCCAACCCTGGCCCCGGTTTCTAGTAATAGCCTCTGGTCCTGGTCCCCGCCGGGTACGGGGATTAACATCCCGGCCGCGGTCAAACCTCGGACTATTCCCCAGTCAAACCCCATGAAAAATATCCGTTAGTTTGAGTCTACCGGGGATCCTCGGCCCCGACCCTGGTTTGAGTAACATCTTCCGGCTCTGGTTTGAGTTTACCTAGGATCTCCAGCCCTGGGACCCGTTTTAGCGGGGAATCCCCGTCCCCATTTGGGTCGGATGAGTCTGGTTCCCCCACCCTTCCCGCGGAACAGTTGTCATCACTGCTGCTTGGAATGTGATCGGGTTCCTGGATATTACATATTTTTGGAGATTATACTCCAAATCCCAATATTTCCTTACTTTACTGCTTTCAGTAGCAATATAAGCCTCAACAAATCGAGACTGTTCCATAAAAACCTCTGTATATTGGTGAATTGTCATATTACCCTGTTCTAACCGAAGGAAATAGTCCTCTAGCTTTCGAACATCAGCTTCAAGATAATACTGAATTTTAAACTTCACTATAAATTCTTCCCACATCATTATCTTCAAAATGTTTGAATCATAACTCGACAAAATTTCCCACCAATATAACGCACTTTGACCGCAACATGGATACAACAAACATCACTTTATTTTCTTCCGCACTTTTACTATTCTATAGACTTAATTCAATTTCTTTAAGCTAACACATGACTTTGATAGGATCACGTTCTCCGAAAACTTAAGGGTTTACATGTAAGGAACATCTTGATATCCCCTCCTTTTTGTATTGTAGATGAAGTAGGTGGTGCGGACGTAGTCATTACCGCTGTACTGGCTTCGGCTTCTTCATGAAAACCCGGGTTTAGGGTTCCCCCACCCTTCCCCTCGGAACAATTGTCATCACTACTGTAGTCATCACAATTACATATAAAGATTATCTACAATAATGAGCACATCTTCTATCAAAAACATTTTATAAAATAAACTAATAAAAGTTTTGGTTTTGTAAATACATAAAACAAAGTGTAGAAATGTTTGTATACTACAAGTATAAGAATTTTTATCATTTTGTAAATGTTTTATAAAACACAATCAAATTTTAGACGATGATGATGTATACTTCCTAACTTATATACATGCGCGTCAAGTAAAAATTTTAGACAAACAATATAATACGGTTTTTCTGTAATCATGAAACAATTACAGAGATGTGACATATTTGCACCAACATAATTGAATTTCATCTCTTTTGCATCTAGTTTAACCAATACCGCCCATCCCTGCACCACTACGACCATGCTACTACTGTCATTGTCACGTTCCCGCCCTACACCACCATTATCGTTGTAACAACCACCTCCATCCCAACCCCGAACCCACCACTGACCACCATGCCACTACTGTTGCCGTCACAGCTGTCACCCCCACCCCATCCTCGTCATAGCTGCCAAATCTATAATTTGTTTTTTTATTATTAAATAATATATTTATTTTAAAATAATAAATATTTATGAGTATATATTATTGGGATTTCCTATCCTCATTTAAGATGAAAAATGAATGGTGTATTTGTGCCTTTTAGGACTTGGACTTGAACCACCAATCATTCCACAACTTGTTTTTTTTATATATCTCTTGTTTCCTTTATCATACACCTTCCATTTCACTCATCAGCGGTGGTGATGGCCCTCCGAGCTTCAACCACCGCTAGACTCCGCCACCACCAACCACCGCCACCACCACCACCAAAAACCCTCATCCCCTTCAAACCCACCCCCAGGATCCAACCCAGACCCGATTCTTATCTCTCCCTCTCCACATCCACCACTCTCTCCCTCTTAACCCTCTTCACATCCCCCATTGAAGCTCATGCTTTCACAATATCCAAAGACGATGTCGTCTCATCTCTAACTCAAGTAATTCATATCCTTTCATGGCTTCTTGTTTTGCTTTCAATCGATAACCCACCCACCCGTTTCATCTCAATTGGTTTCAATTTGTAGGTGGAAGAGAAAATCGATCTGGTTCAGAAGGTGGGTTATAATGTTTTTGAGTTCACAGGGAATGCAGTTAAAACGGTGACGGATTTCCTAAAGCCGGCGGCGGAAGTGGCAATGCCTGTGTTAAAGCAGGCCGGCGGTGAGGCGATCAAGATTGCTTCGCCGGTGATTTCAGAGGCATCGAAGAAAGCTCAAGAAGCGTTTCAGAGCTCCGGTTTTGATACTCAGCCTGTATACGACGCTGCTAAAGTAACTCAATCGAAACCCCCCAAATCTTACAGTTTGATTAGGAATTATTTCGAATTACCTTTTTTGTGGTTTGTGTTGCAGACGGTGGCAGATGCAGCAGAACAAACTGGGAAGGTGGCGAAGCCGATTGCATCCACGACGGTGCAGACCATCTCATCGGCGGATCCTACCACCATTGCCGTCACCGGCGGAGCTTTAGTGCTGGCCTATTTTCTTCTCCCGCCTGTCTTCTCCGCCATCTCTTTCAATTTTCGTGGGTACAAAGGTAGAATTTACTGCAACTTTAGAGATATAAATTGCATTTAAACACGATAGAAAGATCAAAAGGTTGCTATAATCGAAACCGTTTTGATTTTTGGATGACATTATGCAGGTGATCTCACCCCTGCTCAAGTTCTTGATCTTGTAACTTCAAAGAACTACACTTTGATCGATATTAGGTCGGAAAACGATAAGGACAAATCCGGTGTTCCACGCCTTCCTTCGAGTGCCAAGAACAAAATGATCGCGGTCCCGTGAGTACCAATTTCCTCCCGAAGCTACATAAGCCCATTCGATGTCGTGTTCTTTTTGTCACTTTTTTCAATTATGCTCGTTATGTTGTTTTCTCACTTAGTTTTTCATCGTATAATTTTGGCTATTTTACATTGTCATTTAGCTTATTAGCTAGTTTGCCACGTGTAGCCAATATTATCGGTTGTTAACACATTTGGTCATTTACAATCTTCAGATTGGAAGACTTACCGAGCAAATTGAGGGGCATCGTTAGAAACACGAAGAAGTTAGAAGCCGAAATTGCAGCTTTGAAGATATCTTATCTCAAGAGAATCAACAAAGGCTCCAACATTGTGATCCTGGACACGTAAGTTTTCTGATTTCCGCCATTGTTGCTGTAAAAATCGAGTTTTTCACTGCTCTGATGAAAGTTTACGGATGTTGAATTCATCAGGTACACCGATTCAGCAAAGATAGTTGCTAGATGCTTAACGGAACTAGGGTTTCAGAACAGCTGGATTGTGGCGGATGGGTTCTCCGGAGGCAAGGGATGGTTGCAAAGCCGATTAGGAACGGATTCGTATAATGTATCATTCAGTCGTGTTCTATCGCCATCTCGAGTCATTCCTGCTGTTAGAAGTTTCGGTACTACAAGCTCGGCCAAGTTGCTTTCTGATTAAACCCATTTTCATTGTTTCTTCGAATTATATGTTTATAACAGTGGTCTTAATGTGCATTTGTGGTTCATAGATTATGATCGTTTTGCCTCTTAACTAGGGCTGTAAACGAATCGAACGTTCAGCGAACCATTCGGCGGGAAGTTCGTTTATGTTCGTTTATTTAATAAATGAACGAACATGAACAATTTATTTTGTTCGTTTAGTTAAAGGAACGAATATGAACAAGAGTCTCGTTCGTTCATTTATGTTCGTGAACGTTCGTTCATTTACTGTTCGTTTACATATTAAATTTAATATATAATCTTTTATTTATTTACTTTGMATTCAAATAATATTTATTTATGTTCGTTTAGCCCGTTTGTTTAAGTTCGTTTAGCTCGTGCGCTTATGTTCGTTCAGTTAACATGTTAACGAACGAATATAAACGAACACGAACACACCTGATTTCTAAACGAACGAACACGAACACAAAGATTTTCGTTCGTTTAATGTTCGTGTTCGTTTGTTTGTTCGGTTAAGTTAAACGAACGAACATGAACAAGCCTTTGTTCGCGTTCGTTCGGTTCATTTACAGCCCTACTCTTAAACAAAGGCACATTATTTCGGGTAAAAATATGTGAAACCATGTTAAATTACTCTCCAAAAGAGTCATTGAAAATAGGAGTGTTCAAATCTGGCCGATGTGGGACTACACGACGCTCACAAATTGTCATTGAGTGGTTGACATTAACTTTGATACCATGTGAGAATATGTAGAACTATATTAAATGACTATTTAAAAAGCGCTTGAGGAGAGAATCAAAGGTCTTATGTATATTACAACAAAAAAACTTAGAAAGTCCAGATATATGATAGTTTCTAGTATGAATGTAAGCGGTTTAGGGGTTGTTTGTTTACCTTTTAATAGTTCCATTAAGAGACAACATCTGAATCATTAAGGTGAATCTTGTTTAGCGGTTTAGAGGTTGTCTGTAATCCTTCATTTTATATACTCAATTCTTCAATCCCCTTGATCTCCAAATTGTCTCTCCTATTACAATGGCTCAAAACCCTCATCATCGTCAACAATAATTCTAGTTACCTCCTGTAAATCCACAACGTCGTTGATTGTTTGGAGCTCCAATTTCGTGGAGGTTGATTTGGTAATTGACGATCTTTATCTTTACGAGGCGTCGGAGCTCAGAGACGGTGATAAGAATGAGTATGGCGAGAAAAGGTGTTATTAATGCGTTAAGAACATCAATGAAATCTTGGGCCCAAAGAATGGTCCAGTTATACACATTTTTTTTATGAGTTTAAAGGTTACTGAATAAAAAAAAAAGATTTTAGTTGAACGACCCTCATCCTAGTCGTTCAACTAGAATTGGACCAACTAACGTAACTTGACTGAATCCAGTAGGAGCGGACAGGGTCCTTATTAGCCCTTTTATACTACTTTTTACGAATTTTAAGGTTATCGAGTAAAAAAATAGGTATGACTAAAATAGTAGGGACCGACTGGTCCAGTTATGTCTGCTAAATAAGATGACTGGACCAATATACTATAACTAATATAGCTCGGTTGGATTCAGTAAGGCCGGAGTCCAATCATACCTATTTGAAGGTTATTGAGTTTAAAGAAGTGGTAAGGTAATCATAAATCAAATCGTCTTACAATCATTAAGGGTATTTTGGCATTAACACGATTTGAAGGCCACTGAGTTGAATAAATTCATCCAATGATTTATGTCTTGTAAAACAAATAATTACAATGGGGCTGACTATGATCCTTTGATGAACATTTAGAAATGAAGCAGATTTTGATGGCATTATGCTAGAGATTGATTGAACCCCAAAACGAGTGTAAGGTTAGTGTATGTTTATAAGCATATTATTGGGAACAAAAGAACTGGTTATGCTTTTAATGGTGGTAGCCATGAAAGAATTCAGATACTTCACGCGTTTGCGGAGGCTATGCGAATGGACAGCAAAGGGGCCGTTTACTAAACACTTACTTGGTAAGTGCTTACCGGATAAATTTTCTTATTTGATGAACATGAGAAGGACCAAAAATCTTACCGGGTAAGAGCGATGAGAATGATGGAGAGTCTTACTCGATAAGTGAGAATGATGACTCTTACCCAGTAAATTGTTACATTCAATATGTTTTGATGTACTAAAATCTTGCGTATCAAAATAAAACATATTGTTGACTCCTATCGGTAAGCGCTTACCGGGTAAGCAATTGGGTAAACGACCCCTTACCACTTCCACTCTCAATCCCCTTCTCTCATAAACTCTAGCTTATGGATTTACCTCATGTCAGTAAAGCCTTGGGAACCTTTCACATAGCCAAACATTATCGACCCATTTATCCCTCCAAAATAAAGTCTCTCCCTTCCCCAATTTGCCTACCGAATAACGAAGAAAAGTCCAAACCCACACCCTCTAGATCCTTCCCAACTTTGGTAATGTTCCCCCACTTCAGAATGTCGTGAGACAGTTCAGTCCATATCCAGTGTGGACATTAGAGCATTGAGAGGACCGTTGATCCTCTTGAACCCTCACTAACTCGGAGCCATTTAGACCACCATCCTTCCCATAGATACTTCAAATTACCCTAACCCAAAGCGCGTTGTCCTCTACTCGAAATCTCCACGATCATTTCCCTAAAAGGCCAAGTTTTTAGCCTAACAACTACCAATATCGAGACCCCTTTACCAAACTCTATAAGGACATTTACCCACTTAACCAAATCCAATTGAGAATTTGATCCCTCCCCCTCCTTAAAAGAAGTTTTTCCTTACCCTCTAAAAAATATGAACCATAGTAGTCGGGGAGTAGAACAAAAAGAAATAGTATAGCAACAAGATTTTGAGAACTGATTTCACCAAAGTTAGCCATCCTCCAAGCGAGATTAGCTTTCTTTTCCCTCACACAAGCTTATTCTTGAACTTAGAAAAGAATTGGGTTCCAATTGTCCACTCTGCCAGTGTTAACCCCAATAGGAAGACTTAGGTAAATAAGAGGAAGTGTCCCAACTCCACAACATAATCGGACCGCCAAATATTCCACTTCTGATTGGGCTACCCCACACCGCATAAATTACTCTTCAGTCCCAATAAAAGCTCTAAGCTTTTTAGAATTCTCAAAAAGTTTCTAGCATTAGATTCCTTCCATTCCCCAAAGAAAATTCTATCGTCATCATATTGAAGATGTGAATTGGAAACTGCATTATCATTTGAGCCAAATCGATATCCCACGGAAAACATGCTTCCTTGTTGCCAATCGTATAGCAATATTCAGACCCTCTGTAGTGATAAGAAATAAGAAGGGTGAACGAGGGTCATCTATCGAAGTCAATTTATGATTTTGAGAACACACTCTCATTACTTACATCAGTTATAATAATTCTAACAAATTTTGGGATGTTATATTAAGTATAATTAATTCAAAATTTGAAGATACATCAGAGAAGTTATAATTTATATTCCAAACCTCGCATTTGAATCAAATACTCTCGAAACCTTCTATATTGATAATAATTTGATGTTAGTATCGAAATCTAAATACATTTGAAACTTACTTCAACATTTAACAAGTCCTCGCTTGGTTCAACATCCATAAAACCCTCCAATTTATATTAATTTTTTTTTAAAAACAGCTATTTTTGACCATGATGACCATACAATATATCAACATACTGATACCAATAAAATATCAAGAAGCCTATGGCGTCTAGCTTAGTTGGCAAAATGATGAAGTGACTTTGTTTAAATACAAGACAAATTTTGGGTTCAATTCTAGGCTCTCCGCTAGCCTCTGCCGTCGAGTGAGCCAAAAAATATCTTCTCACATTGATTTTCTTAGAAGTGGTTTCGTATGGGGCCGATTGGAGACTGGAATTGCTGGTAATCAACTTTTTACATATCGGAAAAGTTAAAAGTGTTACGGTGGAATCATATTAAGAAGCAAAGAACAAAGAAGTCATATTAGAGAGAATACAAAGACAAAATCAATTTTATTATCAAAATCTGAATGAAATTTGCACAAAACAAAACTATTTATATTAATACAGTTTGATGGGCCTTGGGGTTTCTAACAAATTTTAACGGACATAACAAACTGGGCTTTTTCTTATAACATTCCTCCCCGTTAACAACAATCTTGACCTCAAGATTTCAAGTTTTGACTACACAACTTAGAACACCAATCGTATGAATATGAGAAGAGTCAAAAATCTTACCGGGTAAGAGCGATTAGAATGATGGAGAGTCTTATCCGGTAAGTGAGGATGACGACTCTTATCCAGGTAAGCGCTTACCCACTAAATTGTTGCATTCAATATGTTTTGATATACTAAAATCTTACGCATCAAAATAAATCATAGTGTTGACTCCTATCGGTAAGCGTTTACCGGGTAAGCAACTTAGTAAACGGCCCCTAAGCCATTGAACCCCTAGGACCATGTCATAATTTCAAGTTTTGCAGTCTTCAAGTAAAATTCTTACAAACAAATTGACGCACTATATTGGCACCATCTGCTATTGTTACTTCTTGAGGACTTGAAAACTCATCATTTAAATCTTAGTCGTTTAAATCAATCTTGATATCAAATCTTAACAGTTTAAATCAATCTTGATATTAAATCTTAGTCCTTTAAATTGTTTATTTTAGGAAAAATTGTATCAAAATGGAACCAACTTTCACCTTATTCCTATTTTGGGGAACCAACTTTCAAAATCGTCATTTTGGGGAACCAACTTTCACCTGATTCCTATTTTGGAGAACCAACTTTCAACTGATTCTTATTTTGAGGAATCAACTTTCAAAATCGTCATTTTGGAGAACCAACTTTCACCTGATTCTTATTTTGGAGAACCAACTTTCAAAATCGTCATTTTGGGGAACCAACTTGCATCTGATTCCTATTTTGGGGAACCAACTTTCAAAATCGTCATTTTGGGGAACCAACTTGCACCTGATTCTTATTTTGGGGAACCAACTTGCAAAATAATTATAGAAAAATAACTAAAATTCGTTTTTTTCATAAATTAATGCAATAAAATTTATTTTTCATTTCAAATCTCGTTTTTTTAAC